TTGCTATAGAGCGCGTGCACTCGCCAGACAGACAGAGAGAGACAGAGAGACAGAAAGCGAGAAATCACTCCCCAGGGGGGATGGCCACGTCACAATCCCTTCTCCTCCATTCTCCTCTCGGGATCTTGGGCACACACGCACACGCACCCGGCATGAGTTTAAGACAGTGGGTCCGGGAACTGCGGTCGACTACGTGGAAGTCCAGCGACATAACCATTACGCTAACTGCTGGACCCCCCCCACTTTATTTTTTAAGTAACAATTTTATTGAGATACAATTTGCATGCCATAAAACTTACCCTCCCCAAGCACGAGGTTCAGTGCTTCTTAGAGGGATCTCCGAGGCATGCAACTGTCATCGTCACTTTTTAATCGCACGCTTGCGGTTGTTCCTGACCACGCGTGTGCGTGCCTGTGTCAGAGAGGGGGTTGGGGAGACAGGGAAAGCGGTAGAGAGAGGAGGAACAGAGGCTGAGGTTCGAGGCTCAGAGAAGCCTGACCTGGCTCTGTCCGGTTCTCCACCAGTCGGGGAATCAGCTGGGGAAAACCTGTGAGAGCTGTTGTTTCTTCCCATCCGTCTCCAGCTTATCTTTTCTTTTTGTAAGAAGGATTTTTGGTACAGGGTGTGTGTGCCCACCAGAGAGACAGAAAGCGAGAAATCACCCCCCAGGGGGATGGCCATGACGCAGTCCCTTCTCCTCCATTCTCCTCTCAGGATCTTGGGCACGCGCGCACACGCGTGTATGCCACTGGGTCTGGGACTTGAACCGCAGTCGACAATGTGAGAGTCCAGCGATGTAACCATTATGCCGTCTGCTGGCCCCTATCTCCTGCTTATCTGTTTTTCTTTTTTTTTTTAGAGAGAGAGATTTTTGCTATAGGGCATGCTCTCGCCAGACAGAGACAGAAAGTGAGAAATCAACCCTAAGGGGACGGCCACGCTACAATCCTTACTCCTCCATTCCCCTCAGGATTTGGGGCACGCACGCACGTGTGCTCGCCACGAGTTTTAAGTTGCTGGGTCTGGGACTTGAACCACGGTTCACTGCATGCGAGTCCAGCAACGTAACCGTTATGCCATCTGCTGGTCCCAATCTGCCGCTTATCTTTGGAGCCTCAGTAACATCGTGCCGGGCCAGCAGTGGTGGTACCTGTCGCTCTGTTATGCTGAACCACGGGGGAAAGTCCTGGGTTCTGTCCGGAGTCTCCCTGTACCCATGATCCCGAGGCTGAGGCCGGGTGGATGGGAGCCTGCAGACCCTATTGGGGGTGCTGTCTCTCTCTGTCCTTGTCTCCCCCTCTGTCACTCACTTTCTTTGGAATAAATAGAATGAAATAAATTACAAATAAAACTTTTGTTAGGGTGCACACTATCCCCTTGTCTTCTAAAGCAAAGTCTTTGTCTTTAAATCTAAAACATCCCGGGGGGAGGGGGGGCGGGATGGCCACGCTACAATCCCTCCTTCTCCATTCTCCTCTCGGGATTTTGGGCACGTGCGCACACATGTACCCGGCATGTTTTTATTTTTTTCTTTCTTTTGGTTTTTATCGTAGAGCGAATGTGCTCACCAGAGAGAGACAGAGATGCAGAGTGAGGGAAAATATGAAATCACCCCTGGGGGGATGGCCATGTCATAGTCTCTTCTCCTTGTTTATCCTCTCGAGATTTTGGTCACGTATACACATGTGCCCAGTGTGATTTTCAAGCTGCCAGGTCCAGGACTTGAACTGCGGTCAACCAGGTAGGAGTCCAGTGCCTTAGCCACCATGCCACTTGCTGGCCCCCAATACCTGGTATGTTTTTCAAACTGCTGGGTCCTGGACTTGAACTACATGGTCAGTCATGTGGGATCTGGCCGATTTCACCACCACTCCACTGGCTGGCCCAGTCTCCCAACATTTATCCTCAAGAAAAATCTGTACGTCTGTGTGGACCTATGAGTATATTACGAAGGCAGCCCTGGTGGCCACTGGCTGGTGTCTCAGGCCCGTTGTCCACTCAGTGCATCTCCCCACCCATGACGGTGGGTGGATTCCTACCCAAGCAGGCAACGTTCTGTGGGCGAGCCCCCATTCCGTCGTGTCCAGCATGGTGACATGGCTAGCTGAGGACGTGACCTAGGAGTGGGGGGTGGTGTGTCCTGCACATTTCCTGTTGCTGGTTTGTACGTTCGAGATTAGTGCTCTCTTCCTCCGTGGGGATCCACTCTGTCTTCTTCTTTTTTTGAGAGGTTTTCACCAGACAGACAGAGAGAGACAGAGAGATAGAAAGGGGGAAATCACCCCACAGGAGAGATGGCCATGCCGCAATCCCTTCTCCTCCATTCTCCTCTTGGGGTCTTGGGCACCATGTCCACGCACTGGCGTGAGTTTAAGTTGCCGGGTCCAGGATTCAAACTGAGGTTGACTGTGGGAATCCAGCGTCATAACCATGACACCATCTGCTGATCCCACTAGTAAATTTTTAGTTCAAAATTAAACAGCAAGACGGGGCCAGACAGTGGCGAAGTGTAGGAACGCAAGGCTCTGCGAGGCTGATCTGCCCAGGAAGGGGCCAGGTTATCTGAGACCCCTCCCTGAAGGCCTGTGTTTGTTTGTGCCCTAATCCGGGCTGGCTGAGGCCAGGGCAGGGTCCAGACCCTGTCCTGGGTGCTATATCTCTGCCTCTCTGTTTCTCTCATTCATGGAGAAAAAAAAAAAAAAAAAAAAACTAAAGTAAGCAGCCAGGGCCGACCACAGTTCAGCCAGGGCTGACCACAGTTCAAGTCCCAGACCTGGCAGCTTGCCTTCCCTCTCTCTCTCTCTCACACACTCTGTTCCTCTCTGGTCA